CCCCCGCAGGCCCAGGACCCCGTTCCCGCTGCCGCCGCCACGGCTCTGGGCTCGGGTTTGCCCCCGCAGCGCGGGTGGCCGCAGGCGGTGCCAGGCCTCGCCCGCCTGCTGCGGCTGCGGCTGGCAGACTGTTCCTCTCCACGGTCGTCCCACTCGCCCTGATTTCTGTCAGAACCAGCCGCTCTCCCCCCCAGACTCGCAGTCGGGTAATTTCGTTTGTCCTTCCCATGGTCTCGTGCATCGCTCTCCGTCCCCGCTCGTTCGCCAGGATCCCGCCGGCCTTTCCCAGTCGCCGTTTCCCAGGAGGGAGCAGCCCCTCCTGAAGAATGACTCCCATCCTTTGTTCCTTACAGATGACCTTATATATTGAAATGAACGTTGTTTACTTGAGCTCAGCACTAGTTTGGAGTCAAGAGCTGATTCCCAGAGGACTCTCCTGGATACACTCACCAAATGAGGAATCTTCTCCTGTAATTACATTTCGGGGACAGCAGACATTTTTGATTCATTTAATATGTGCCATGTTGCATTTGTTGCAGATCAGATATGTAACAGAAGCCCTGTTACCTTAAAAGTACTGCTATTATCAAGTACTGACTTAATTACGGTTTTATCTAAAAATAGATCAAGTTAGCTTGACAGAACCCATTTTTCCTACTCCTCCGCCTCCCGGTGTTGTTTCCTCCTTTCACAGAATCACAGAACCATCTCGGTTGGAAAGATCCTCCAGCCCCACCATGACCCTCCCCCTGACCGTTCCCAACTCCCCCAGATCCCTCAGCGCTGGCTCAGCCCGACTCTTCAACCCCTCCAGGAATCCCGGGGACTCCCCCCTGCCCTGGGCAGCCCATTCCAACGCCCAACAGCCCCTTCTGCACAGAAATCCTTCCTCAGAGCCAGCCTGACCCTGCCCTGCTCCAAAGCCCGGCATCAATCTGCCACCGCAGCCTCGTCCCGAGCGCAGCACCGGGCTGGCAGGCTGCTGCCACTGGGAGCCCACCAACACCTTCACTTTTCACTCCTCCCAGTCTTAAAAAATTTACTGACTATAAACGCAAAGAGCCCGGGAGGCTCCTCAGGGCATTACCGGGCTCAGGCTGCTTTTAACCTGCCTGACTTTGGGAGCCGCTGACATCCAGGTAGTTCCCGCAGGCAGGGAGGTGGTGCATGGCCCGCTGCCTCTTCCAGCTGCACTTGTAGGTTTACAAAACCCACCCGAGGTGAGGCCCGTAGCTGCTGTCTGCTCGTTATCATCGCTCCCTCCTGCCTCGGATTGTTGTGTGGTTGCCATAGCTCTTGGAGCTGCCTCCGCTTCCCCCAAGGCGAGCCAAGGCAGCTCTCTCCCCGCCTGGGAAACTGCTTTGTTAGCCCGAGCAGCGGCCGTCCCGCCTGCGCTGGCTCCGAGGGAAAGGTGGAAAAGTCCCGTCTTGGCCACGTCAGAGCCCGCGTCGCTGGAGCCAGCCTGGCTGGTCCCTGCGCCGAGCCTCTGCTGGGGGTCGCGGTGCCGGCGAAGAGCTGCCACCCCCGGCCACGTCCCGTGCCCTCTCCCACTGCCTGCCAGCATCTCCCACCCGACGAGAGGCCGCAGGCTCCTCCGGCTTTGCGAAGGGCTCGTCCCGCAGCCGCTGCTCCCAGAGCTGCACGAGGGCCGGCCCAGTAGCACTGGTCAACTCTTGCCCTTGATCTGTGAGACGTTGAGGTTTCTTTACTTTCTCCTGCACTGCTTCCACCAGCGATGCTGATTTACTTCCCTACCTAATGGTGGCATCTACCACCAGGGCTTTTTCCTCTTTGACAAATATCTAGTCTGGTTTATATAAATTATTTTGTTCATTATTTGTTCATCTATTAGCAATGGCCCTTGCAATAATACCCTTCTGTCTTCTTGGCCTCTTCCACCATAACGGAGCTGGTTATGTCTCCTGATTCCAGCAGCCCGTACTGCCGGGGCAGCATCCAGTGGTGATGAAGACGTTC